AAGAACGGACTCAGTGTTACACTTCCAGCTTCAGGGATGTCTGATATGAACAGCTTGGACCCAAAGGCCAAAGGTCAGACGGATTGTAATTCCCACCCTCAAAACACCACATCTGCCGAGCCGAGGGACGACCTTTTGGCTCAGTATGAGGAGCTCATCCGTACGTTGGACACTGAGGCAGCGAGAAAACAGGTCAAACCTGATGCACAGTTAAAGAAGCCTACCACAGCTGCAGAGGAGGAAGAGGAGGAGGAGATGGATTTCACCTCCTTCTCTGCTGAGACACCAGAGCCAGAGAAAGTGCATTCACCATTTGGGGTCAAGCTTGGCGGTGGAGGTGCGGGTAGAAACCAGTCGGCACCTTTTACTGGTAAGTGAAATGTTCGCTTAGCAGCAGACCTGTTATTCACCAATCATTGGGACAGCACAAATAAAATGTTGTTTATGATTATTCTTCCTGCAGGCCCATTTGTCAGTGTGCTGTTGTCTCGTCTGGAGAACATGCTGTCGAACTCGCTTCACGTCAACCTGCTTCTGACGGGCATCCTGGCCCAGTTGGCCACCTACCCTCAGCCTCTGCTGCGCTCCTTCCTCCTCAACACCAACTTAGTCTTTCAGCCGACTGTTCGCTCTCTTTACCAGGTAAAACACATACATTGTCTGCAAGTGCAGGCAGGAGCCTTTTATTTAATTTTCCTTCCCCTGAGGCTTGTGTGTCGTCACCTTGACAAAGGGAAGAAAAACAAAATAATTGATTTGTGTTTTGTTGCTACCCTGAAAGATGTTGAAACATGCAGTCAACCTTCAGTAAGTGAGAGTTATTCTAGAATGAGATGAAATACAGACTGCTTCTTTTGTTCTTCCTGTTTTTTCATTTACAACCGAACAAGATATCCTTGATTAGCACAATCAGGCTGCTTGTTCTAATTCATTTCGCTTTATTTACATCAGTGTAAATACTGCAGATGTGTGAATGTAAAGTAATCCTCAGGTTATTCGCTGTGTTCCCCTCAGGTTCTTGCCATTGTAAAGAACCAGATAGAAGAGCAGGCTGCCTCCAGGAAAGACTTCCCAGAGCTGATAACTACTGCCCAACACTGGCTGCTGGCTAGGGAGACTTCCTTCATGGCAGCAGGTGACAGCACACCTTTCTATAATCCTTGCTTCTATGCTAGCTATTGTTGGAATCTGTTTTTACACATAGATCTATAGGTTTACATGAACATCAAGTATTCACAACATTCTTATTCAACGATCATTTCAAATTAACGTGGGGTTTACTGCTAAATGTAAGTGCTGAAATGTAAAAGAATAGTCTTATGTTTTAGGAAATATGCATATAAGCTTTGTTGCTGCATAAGATTGATACCACTCTCGTAGGCTATCTGTGAAATGAGGCAGATGCTAGCAGCTGGTTAGCTTAGCTTAGCAAAACAAAAAGAATACTGTATTTGTTTGTACTGTCACGTTTATACATAGTAGAGGAAACAAACATGATAAAAAGTGTTAGTCAATGGCCTTTAGTGAGGACTGTACGCAGATTGCTTTTACACATTTGGTCAACAGCTGTTGCTGTATTTATTTGCAAGTCAAAACATGATGGAGTTTACTTCTTTAATATTATCATTACAGATGTTTGAGTTTTTTTAACAAACATAATTGGAGTTTACCTATCAATATATTTTCAGTTCACGATGAGTTATTGACTTGAGATTGCATTACTTTTTATTTTGAGGGTTATTTTGCTGAACAGAATATAAACTGCCATGTTGTAATTCCTCCATCTCAGTAACTTGCTTTCAAAAATGGGCCGAGTTCAAAACAACATTAGCATTCATTATCGGCTGTTTTTGCAGCTCCTGTTTGGGAATCAGAATAAATTCTACTTGATTTTGTTAAGTGATGTCTCTTTGCACTGAAGCAGTGGAACCCTGGAGTGTAAGGCCTGTATTGAACTAGCTTCCCTGTGGTTTCAGAGTTGTACAAGCTACAAAAAAAAGATCTTGTCAGAACTATGTTTTTGGAAAGATAATTTAAAGGGAATATTTCAGTTGGTTAACGGGGAGGGGGGGTTAGGGTCCTTTCTTGTTTTCTTTTTTTCTTCAAAAATGACGATCCTACCATCCTGCTGATACTTATTAATAAATACTTTGCTAATAATACTATATAACACTTTTAAATCCTCATGTTTTCAGACAGCAGCAGGCACTCCACCCACAGCGAGGCAGCGAGGATGTTGAAGAGTTCCCCGCTACCAAAACCCAAAGCCATCTCTCTGGATCGGACAGAGGTTTTTGCTACCGTCCTCTTCACGGAGTTCCTCAAAGAACTGGCTGCCATTGCACAAGAGCACTCCATCTTATCCTACATTCCTATGGAAGAGTAATCGTGTCCAGTTTGACTCTGAAAGACTTTAAAGGACTCTTTAATAATGGTTTGTTGTGTCCTTCTCAGGCACTACTTGTTGAAGAAACTTCTCAGATCCAGTGATTTTATTACAATTATTTAAAATATCTTTATTTTTTCCAAGCGAAGATAATCAATTTCTTATCCTTTTTAATTGTACCTTTTGTAGTTCTGTAAAGGTTTGTTTGGCAGTCGAGAAGGACGTCTTATATTGACCTGTTTGCTGAAGCCTGCACCAGCCCACTATGCTCAAAGGAGAGCGCTTCAAGTCCACCAACCAAGACTGTAGAGAGATTATTTGAACAAAAACTGCATTTTTTGAAGCAATCATCAGCCCATATTTTAACTCTAAATAACTTTCTGAATGTCTTCTCTAACACAGCAAGATGTCTGGTGCTCAGTTTGGTTCTGTTGAATACTCAGGTGGCCTTTCTGGAAAGTTGTTGCCTCTTTGCTATAGGTCTACAAACACACCTGAGCACACATCGAGCCTCTGTCCCTTCAGCGGGCAAGCCTTTACATCTACAGCATTAAAATGTAACTTAAAGACACACTTTTGTAGCCGACCGGCAGCAGGATCATCGCAAAAAAATCGAAACTTTATTCTTATGCAACTATTACATTACTACAATTTCTTTGGCAGAACTTAAGTTTTAAGTTTTGCCAAAGGGGGTCACTTAAAACGTTTTGGTGTTTTCATAAAATGTCTGTGGGTTAGATGTATGTTTGTTTTGGTGTTTTTCTGTAAAGTCATGACGGTACCTCAGGAGTCGTTCTGTTCTCTCAGTTACAGCCTTTTGGTGAAGCTATTTTCCTACAATGCACTAGTCACTCACATGATCTCCAGACACGAGCACCAAAACCAGGATTGGTCGTTCTATATTTAATTTGCCTTACTTTAGTGATGCTTTATAATGTAAATATTGTAAGAAAATAAATTGTAATGACACAAAACACTATGCAAATCAATGATATTGTGGGTATAATTAATTGGGATATTTTCACAATGGGAAGGGGTATTTAAGTGCCACAAGGTTATGCTAGATAAGATATACTTGTTATAGTTTGTCATCATCTTCTATTTGTGGATTATGTAGGGTGTTGTAGTTGTGATAAATCTTATATATCTCTGTTGGGAGGGATGCAGTTTTGCATCTGTTGAAAACATCTCACATTGTAATGGTTACAGAGGGTAAACTGTTTGTAAATCGCCTTTATTTTAGTCCAGGTATTTCACATGTTTGTTAAAATTGGAATATACAAGAGATATATTTTGTTACAAAGCATGCCTCTGCTGTCTTAATGAATTCACCAGGACAGAAATACTTATAACTAGTGCCTAAATGATGATTTGAGTTCTCTGCATTGCATGATTTTGAATGGATTTACACAGGAATGAGGTTTGTTACTTGAAGCTGTCTATTTTTAACGTATAAAATAAAGGCCATAGGGGCAGAAGACGTGCACAACATATTGTTCGGTCTTATTATTCTCCTAAGAAATGTAACAAAATATACATTTGTGTGGCTCATAATACAAAGAATTGTATTTAACTTGAGTTTTTAATTTGGATTATGTATTTTTGTTCCTTTCTTTAAATCCATTCAGTTTCTACTTGATGCAAAGCAGGCAAACGTTTATGTATTGAGGTCTGGCTTCGGAGTGTATTTTGTGTCAATCAAAGCCATTTCCAGAGTTGCTAGTGAATAAGTATTTCTCTCTGGTAAAGGAATGTTGCTGAGCACTTTATCAGCCTTTTCTTACTACAGTCCGACACCTCAACCTGCACAGATCCATTCAGTCTGTGTAGCGTACCCAGCACAGAATTACAATTACTGTTTTACAGCGTTGTAGAACGATGAGATAATAGACCGGGTTTTGTCTGAGTAGGTTCTTATTCCAAAGATTGATCCTTTCTGACACCATTTGGCCTCAAGATTTCTGTCTTAATGTGATCCGGTTGCTGTTTTCTGCTGAAGTTTGAGACACAAAGGCATGCCTCTTTTAATAAAAGTCAACTTCTGGTAAAGAAACAATGTACGTTTTGTGTTGACTATTCCCTTACACTGTTTAAACATAACGTTTATAACGACTGCTTCAGCCAACAGGTCTGACCTTACACAATATATACTGTCTTTTCTTTCTACCAGAGGCTCCTTGTACTGCAGACATTGACGTCTTCTTTTAATTCACATTCCCTGCCACAGAGACTTAAAAATAGGTCTTAAGTAAACACATGAGCTTCTTCATTCATGTGCAGTAACTATTGACTAGAGATAAAGCAGATTGTGATAGAAAACCTTTTGACAGCTCCTAAATATTCTGTTAATAAGTACTTGAATACACAAGAACACATTTGAATGCACCATATTATGGACTTTATAACAAGGCAAGTAGCAGGCTTTAACCACCAGAGGGAGCTCAGTGAACGCTCTCCTGTCTGGTGACTGTTGCCTTATGATCAAAATAGCATCGTCAGAGCAGCAACACCTTCTGCCTGTCTGATTTCCAGGCATAGCATACGACCATTATGCCAATATTTATATGGTACATTGTTAGTTATATTGAATTAAATGCAGGAATGCTTCGATTAATAGTTCTTAAAATCCCAGTCTTCTTTATTATAATAGCATTTAAATGTATCTGAAGTTTTCAAGGGTCAGAAAAGGTGCTTCAATTTTCTTCATAACTTTTTCATACAATTTTATCACCATGTCAAAATATGAACACATTAATTGAAGCATAGAATTCACAATTGACTAAATAACCTGAATAGTTTGACAACACACTGCCACAGAGAGCATTATTCTGGAAAACATTTATTCATTTTTAAACACATAAATAGAAGGTCATTGTTGTTGTCCAGTAAAATCACTGTTCAGTATTTACAAACAAACATATCAGAAACTAAAGATATTAGCTTTATTTTCAGCCTGAATTTCAATAGTTTCCTTCACCTGCCGAAGACCAGGTACCATATGTTGTTTTGATGGAGCGACATGATTACTCTGCCTGTTCATAAAGATCTACAAACATCACTGCCATATCGACGTCTATCATGAAGGTCACATGGCCCATGATTTGACTCTGGTCTTGCACAACAGTCCGACCTTCATGACGTCTTCTCTTGTATAATTTTCCTCACCAGAACCGGGTCGGCTCTGCCTTTGGTCTCTCTCTGAACCAGGCCCATCAGCTTGTTCAGAACCTTTTTATTTCCACCTCGGATGGCGTTAACCTACAGAGGAACAACAAACACAAATACATCTCATACAAACAAGTAAAGAACAAGTGATAACAGGGTAAGAGTTTGCACGTGAGCCCTCACCTCGTCAGGGTGTGAGTCCAACACTTCCTGGCAGATGTTGTGCAGCTGTGCGGTGTCACTGACCAGACCCAGGTCCTGCTCCCGGATGATCTGCAGGGCCGTCTTGCCCGGTGACCTCCACATCTCCTGGAACACCTGAGAGGAGACAGGTGAGCACCACAACACAAACAAACAATAGCCGGTGTGTGTGTGTGTGTGTGTGTGGATAATTGGCTGACTGACCCTCCTGGCAGCAGAAGAAGAGATGTGTCCTGTTTCCTGGAGCTCCAGCAGCTCAGCCAGGGCAGAGGGAGCGATCGGGCTGAAATTACATGAGGGGCTAAATTTAATTAAAGTTTAAGGAGAGACACTACAGCCGAAACTCATAAATCCCTACTTAATTGCTCATATTAAAACGTATTTTGCATTACAAGCTTCTGAAGTGATTTAAAAAATGCAAATGAGGCACTTTCTTATTAAATGTGTTAATTTGCATAGATGTGCACAACGTCAATCCTAGTATTGAATAAAGCTTCATTGTAAATGTTATGCTGTTTAATAGAGTTAGATGTTTTACAGTCAAACATTTTGGATCATTTTGTAACACTCCAAACATTAAGAAAACAGTCACAGAAAATAGTTTTGCCTTGTTTTTATGAATTAAAAGTTATAAAGATCAACTGATTTATGAAAAAATATATAATAAAACTAGAAAGTTTGGTGTATTCAAGTACTACTGATGACGACATTTCTGTCAGAGTACGAGAAAAAAACACAATTTGGAAAAACAGCCTCAATTCTTAAACATTCAAACACTAGACCGTCTGGAAGAAGACATGATATGGAAACAAAACAGCCCAAACCCTCAACAATGATGCAACTCGTGAATACAATCGATTCATACATGTTTTTACCTTTAGCGTCTCACTTTTACAGAAGTACTGAAGAATTTGTGATATAAAAGAAGAGGGAGAAGGAAGGAGAGGGAGAGTCAAATAGTCCATCAACATTGGTGAATTGACTCTAATGTGTTTGTCTATGTCTTCTTGTTTATTCCCCAGGCTAGCAGACAAACGGAAACAAAAAGCCTGTTAGAATATATTAAGTGGAGGCACTGCAGACAGCGACCCATCCTCAAACAGAATATCAGCTCTGTGGAGAAACAGATGAGAAGTATCCATCTCCTTCTGGCAGACTGTTTATGTGTCAAATAGAGCAGTGGCGCTTCTGCTCTCAGCCAGTGGGCATGCAGAGAAGTTCAACTAAACTAGAAATTGTAATTTTATTAAAAAAAGAAAATATATGAGCAGCACTGCTGGTTAAATATGTGTACGATGGGGCTTTTCTTTTTACTGCACTTGGAGTAATTTATTAAGTGGGCTGTTTGATGTTGCTGCTCATTTCCCTCCAGGTGCTAGTGTTTATCTATGTGCTTGGTTTTATTTGATTTTCTTTTTTCCTGTTTACTTTATGCCGTAATGATTATTCCATGAGTATGGATAACCATGTTATACTTTGTTTAGTGCGTTATGTGCTTTATGAGGGAGTGGCTTTGCTATTTCTGTCTTTCTCTGCGATTGTTCAAGAGTTGTTACTAAGACTAATTCCAGGCAATCATGTTGATATAAATATCAAGTAAACAAACTTGAACAATCTCTGTGTGTATCTCTTCGATTTGCACACGGCATCTATTGCACGTCTGTCCGTCCTGGGAGAGGGATCCCTCCTCTGTTGCTCTCCCTGAGGTTTCGACATTACCTATTGACGCAGCAACCACTGTAAGTTATATTCTTGTTTAATTAGACTTCTCTGTTTCATTTATTCGACTCTGTATAAATTGTTATTGTAGCTTTAACGGCTAAATCGCGTTTGAGAGATTTTAAATCTTAGATCTGCTCAGGCGAAACCTGCTTTATAGGTCTCAGCACTCAAGCCTGCATTAATATAGGCACGGCCAGTCTATTGTCGCCCATCAGCTGTAGATAGTTAACTAATTAGAGGGCCATGGCCCTACAGCTGTGTGAACTGAGCAATCAGGCGTCCATTTTTGGGTAGCTCTTTCCTGGAGCGTCAGCTTCAGCGTCAGACAGCCGAAGACCGACAAAGACATTGGAGTCCTGCGGGAGTCAAAGACTGACAAAGACATTGGAGTCCTGCGGGAGTCAAAGACTGACAAAGACATTGGAGTCCTGCGGGAGTCACGAGGGAGGCAAAGAGGAGGCAAATCCTACTCTGATTGAGCTGGTGTCTTATTTATCTTTTCTTTAGTTTTCTAGCCCCTCATGCTATAATCATGTGTATTTTCTCCATTCCTGTTCATGCGTCTTCTCGCAATTATCACTGGCCCCGTGTATCTCCTAATCGATATAACCGGCCTGCCCTCGTCTATCCCACGTGCTCCACTGAGATCCAACATCTAGTTTCAGGTGGCCTGTGGAACTGCCAGTCAGCTGTTCCTAAGGCTGACTTCATCTCTGGCTACGCCTCCCTGCAGTCTCTGGATTTCCTTGCTCTCACTGAGACCTGGATTACTCCATCCAACACATCCACCCCAGCAGCTCTCTCCACTGCATATTCCTTCTCCCATACACCCAGACCCACTGGCAGAGGAGGTGGCACTGGTCTCCTGCTCTCTCCCAAATGGAGCTTTTCCCTCTTCAAGCTACCTAACTTCACTCCTTCCACCTTTGAATTCCATGCCGTCACATCCTATACAGTTAACCATTGTTGTCCTCTACCGTCCACCAGGCGCCTTGGGGGACTTCTTGGAGGAATTAGATAATCTCCTCTCACTCATCCCTGAAACTGGCCCTCCCGCTGTACTTCTCGGAGACTTCAACCTCCAGACGGGGAAGATAGACGAACTAACATCTCTGTTAACCGCCTTTGGTTTCTCACTGTCTCCGTCCCCACCGACTCATAAAGCTGGCAATGTCCTTGATCTCATATTCTCAAGGAACTGCTCTACTTCTAACCTCTCTGTAAACCCGCTCCACACATCCGATCACTTCTTCATTTCATTCTCTCTATCCCTTTCCAAACATAACAAACTAATCTCTTCCCATCCTGCACTTGTCCGCCGTAACCTTCGCTCCCTCTCCCCCCCTACCTTTGCCTCGTCGGTGCTCTCAGCCCTCCCTTCCTCTGATTCGTTCCATCTCCTGCCTCCAAACTCTGCTGCAGAAACTCTCCTCTCTACTCTCTCATCCACTCTGGACTCGCTCTGTCCTCTCACATCTCGGCAGGCTCGTCAGTCCCCTCCTGCTCCCTGGCTAAATGATGCACTGCGTGCTAATAGAACCGTCCTTAGGGCAGCAGAGCGGAAATGGTGGAAATCCAAACACCGTGACGACCTCCTAACCTATCAAGCTCTCCTCTCCTCTTTCTCTGCTTCGATCTCTCAGGCAAAAAGCACTTTCTTTCAAGATAAGATCCAATCTTCCTATTCCAATCCTAAAAAACTATTTTCCATCTTCTCCACCCTCTTGGACCCTCCAAAAGCTCCTCCCCCCTCCTCACTTCTGTCAAGCGACTTTGTTACCCACTTTGAAAAAAAGGTTGATGATATTCGCTCTTCTTTTTCTGACTCACCTTTACTCACCGCTGGGTCACCAGACCCTCCTTCCACCAACACACTTACCTCCTTTTCCCCTCTCTCTCCAAGTGAGGTTCTTACCCTCATTACCTCTGCCCGCCCTACCACCTGTCCTCTGGACCCTATCCCTTCAAACCTCCTTCAGACTATCGCTCCTGATATTCTACCGTTTCTCACCCATTTCATCAACACTTCTCTAACTTCTGGTCACTTTCCAAACAGTCTCAAGGAGGCAAGAGTAAACCCTCTCCTAAAGAAACCCACTCTCAACCCGTCTGATGTTATAAACTACAGGCCTGTCTCTCTCCTCCCGTTCCTGTCTAAATCACTTGAACGCGCTGTCTTTAAACAACTCTCCTGTTATCTCAATCAGTACAACCTTCTGGATCCACACCAGTCTGGTTTCAAGGCAGGTCACTCCACAGAAACTGCTCTCATTGCTGTCACGGAGGAACTGCACACTGCCAAAACTGCATCCCTCTCCTCTGTCATCATCCTATTGGACCTGTCTGCCGCATTCGACACGGTGAATCATCAGATCCTCCTTCGCACTCTCCAAAAACGTGGAGTTTCAGGCTCTGCACTTTCCCTCCTCACCTCATACCTGAAAGACCGTACCTACAGGGTGACTTGGAGAGGGTCTGAGTCCGACCCTTGTCAATTAACTACAGGGGTCCCTCAGGGCTCTGTTCTTGGTCCCCTCCTCTTCTCCGTGTACACAAACTCGCTCGGATCAGTCATTAGCCCGCATGGTTTTTCTTACCACTGCTACGCTGATGACACCCAATTAATTCTGTCCTTTCCCCGCTCAGAGACCCAGGTCGTTGCACGCATCTCTGCTTGTCTAGCTGACATCTCTCAGTGGATGTCTGCTCACCACCTCAAGCTCAACCTTGACAAGACTGAGCTGCTCTTCCTCCCAGGAAAAGATTGTCCCACTCTTGACCTAACAATCAACATCGGCACCTCAGTTGTTTCCCCGACTCAGACTGCAAGGAATCTGGGTGTGACCCTAGATAACAACCTGTCCTTCACTGCAAACATCGCTGCTACAACCCGTTGCTGCAGATACACGCTTTACAACATCAGGAAGATACGTCCCCAGCTGACTCAGAAAGCGACTCAGGTTCTGGTCCAGGCTCTCGTCATCTCACGCCTAGACTACTGCAACTCCCTCCTGGCTGGTCTACCTGCATGTGCCATCCGACCTCTGCAGCTCATCCAGAATGCAGCGGCTCGTCTGGTCTTCAACCTTCCTAAATTCTCCCACACCACTCCGCTCCTCCGCTCCCTTCACTGGCTTCCGGTAACTGCTAGAATCCACTTCAAGACACTGGTACTTGCGTACCATGCTGCGAATGGATCTGGCCCTTCCTACATCCAGGACATGGTTAAACCGTACACCCCAGCGCGTGCACTACGCTCTGCATCAACCAAACGGCTCGTTGCGCCCTCGCTGCGAGGGGGACCCAAGTTCCCATCGGCGAAAACACGTGGGTTTGCTATCCTGGCTCCAAGATGGTGGAATGAGCTCCCCATTGACATCAGGACAGCAGATAGCTTGCACATCTTCCGGCGCAAACTGAAAACTCATCTCTTTCGACTCCACTTCGAGCGTTAGAACTATTAACGAAGCACTTTTATACTAATAAAGGACTGGCTTACCTAAAGCCAATGGAGTAGCACTTGAAATGTTTGGCTCTATGAAACCTGATGTACTTATATGA